GAGAATTAAATGATATTGAGGTCCGCCTTTTTTCATATTGTATTGTTTCGAAGAGGACACATTTTGATTAAAACAAAATTTAATTTTGGGTGGAGGCGCCAAGGTGAAAAGAAGGTCAAACTTTTTTTAAATGGAACTCTAATTTTTTGAACACTTACGTTTGTAGCCCTTGTCATGACGAATTCAACAACCACATACTCAAGGTGATTAGAGGTCAAATAATGGAAAAAAAGACTCAGGAAAGAAAAAATAATGCTTGAATAAAGCAAAGAAGGAATAAACTTTGTTAATAAATTTTCAATAAGAACAAAATATCTTAGAAAAAAGAAACGTCTTTCTCTTCGAAATGGAAAATTTCATTAATTTAAGTGTTCGAAATGTCCCCTTGCATCTATGCAAGCCTGCAATCTTCTTTGAAAATCATTAAGCACTCTTTGTAATTCGCTCGTCGAAATTATTTGACTCGCTTCACATATTCCTTACATCATATTTTCTCTTGTAGTTGGAGGATTAACATAAATAATTTCCCGTCTTCTACCCCAAAAATAATAATCTAGGCAGGCCAAATCAATTGATCTGGGTGGCCAAGACACTGGACCTCCTCGACCTATATCTATCGATTAGGAAAAATAACATTCATGTGTAGTCTGACAGCCAAACTAAAGTGCTCCGTCCAGATGCATCCACATGTTTTACCGAAGGTTTAAAGACAAATCTTCCAGAAGAATAGGTAATTTCTTAACTAAGAAATTCAAAAAAAACTTGTCCACTTACAATCGAAGAAAAATGGACCGATAATTGTGACACCAATAATGGCACATCACATGATTCAACGACCATACATGTTGATTATCAATTTGTCTTAACCATCTAGGATTTTGGTCGCTCCAATAATGAAAATTATGACGATTTACACGTCTATTACTATGAAACGTAGCTTCATCGCTCCATAATACTCTAGGAAAGAACGTTTCATCCTCTTCATAGCGTTGTAAAGCCCATCGATAAAATTCCATTCTCCTACCATGATCCTTCTGTGTTAAGGCTTGGTGCAAGTTGCTATGGAACGGATGTTGGCGCTCACGATGCAAGATATTCCAAATATTTACGTGGAATATTCCAAGTTCTCGTGACAATTGTCGTGTACTGTAATGAGGATTTATTGCTGCTAAAACATTTATTGTTATGTCCTGATTACAAACTGGACGAGGCCATATTGCGATGAACTGCAAAAGTTACATGTTCTCCCAAACAATGATATAAACAAATGAAGACCATAGGAAATGGATAATGGAGTCTATTAGGATATATTTAACGGTAAATTCTAGCAGCTTCTCTAACATTTTGTTGACATTCACCATAAATTAAGACCATGTTACGATATTCCTCATTAGTATAATGCACCATAACGCAAATGACGAAAGAAGAGAAAGTGAAAACACAATTTATTCTAATGATTACACTAGTCACACTCGTATTCAATATCAATAACTGACTCGGTTGAAATAGTACTCATCCCCATACGTACGTACGCCTAGTCTATCTGTTATATGTTTATTTTCTGAAGAACGTTTACAGTTTTTGCATCGTCAGCGCCAACATCCATTCCATATCTACTTCTACTAAGCTTTAACGCAGAAAGATCATAATAGAATTTTGCTAATATAAATAAGATAAACTTTGATTTTATTAAGATGTATTAATAAAGTTAATGAGTCTCTTTTCCATTACTTGACTTTCCATTATTATCTAATCACCTTAAATATGTGGTTGTTGAATTCGTCATGACAAGAGCTACAAACGTAGGTGTTCAAAAAATTAGAGTTCCATTTAAAAAAAAGTTTGACCTTCTTTCTACCTTGGTGCCTCCATCCAAAATTAAATTTTGTTTTAAGCAAAATGTGTCCCCTTCGAAACAATACAATATAAAAAAAAGGCGGACCTCAATATCATTTAGTTTTCGAGGTATTTTACCTGTTACGTTTGAAATTTAGCACCCTGTATATTCTACAGAAATTAAGATAGCAAGTTCTTTCTGGGCTCATTTTGAAGGTCAACGTAAGGGCTATATGAAACAATATTGCTACTTAATTTCAAAATGGCGGATTAAATATGGCAGATCAAAATGTGAAATTTTTTCGGATTTGAGTGAAACTCATTTTTCAGGGGTTTTCTGAGTCGCTAGTAACGAATCTAAAGTTAAAATTTTCAAATTCAATATAGTCATATCTAATATAGCTGATATTTCGTGGAATTTTTTGAAGCACGGAATGGGACAGAGTAGAACTTTACATGCTATGCATATTGAATTCGTCATTTTTTAATTTGAAATTTTGACTACATATTCATAATTAACGACCCAAAAAATCTCTGGAATATGAATTTTATTCAAATTCAAAAAAAATTTTACATTTTGGTTCGCCATATTGGATTTGCTATTTTGAACTTTGAAATTTTGGCTACAGATTCATAATCAGCGACGCTATAAACCTTTAGTAAAATGTGAATTAGATGCAAATTATTCCTAGAAGAAAGTAAGGCACGAAAGGGTTAAAATTGTAAAAAGTTTTGTGATAAAGAAAACAGAGAACAGAAAGCCATAGAAACCAATGAGATCGACAGAGAATCTCATTGTTTTCTATCGCAATTTATCGTTTCGTTGCATTGTCTCCCTTCCTCGCTTGTAACTCGCCATAGCTTGGAACGAGTTCGTTTTTCAGCACGTGGTTACGACAGGTGACCTACTCCGCAGTCTTTTTTGTAAAAAACGCTTTTTTCATCCGTCGTCATCCCTCAACACGGTACGCACTATGCTGGAGAATAACAGGTCTATTCCAACTTCTTCGACGAAGGCATGACTCTTTGTATCTCACACTAAATAGATCTCCAGTGCGTGTTGCGTCATGTCCCAAATCGGGCAGTGGTAGCACTGTGCCATGGACTTCTTCCCAATCTGGTACAAGAACTCATCTAAGCAACTGTGTCTTATGAGAACCTGTACTAAACAGAAAATCAGTCCGCATCTGTGTCTGTCCGCCCTCAATAGACTGTACTATCTTCTTTCCGGAGTATCGTGGCAGATCAAGAGCATCTTGGCCTACTGGACCATCACCTGGCCTCTGGTCTGGAACTTCAGAGCTGCCTGTATACTGATCGTGATGTTAACACCAGCTGCAGTTCTTTCATATGTCAATGCATCTTAATATACTGGAAAACAAAGAGCTCTATCGAAGACTTGTCGATTAGGATTGTCACCGTATATGAAAAGGTGCGGTAGCACTGCATCGTCTTTAGAACTATTGAATGCATAGCCTGAATTATCAGATGTTTGTTACGGTTAGTACCCACACCTATATGCACACGTACAGGTGTAATAGCAACATGCAGGTCAGTATAACGGGTTGCTTGCCCTATGTGACATTAAGGTTATAATCGAAGTAAATCCATCCCAATCGATACGAGAGATTGCTACGACATTGAATATATCCCACACAAACGTAGAAAAGCATTTGCGCCAGCTGGGATACATTTCTCGGCTTAATGTTTGGGTGCCGCATCAATTAACCGAGGCTAACTTGACTACACACATATCCATCTGCGATTCGTTACGGAAACATCAAGAAAACGACCCGTTTTTTAAACGAATGGTGACGGGTGACGAAAAATGGGTCGTCTACAATAATGTAACGCGTAAAAAATCATGGGGGCACAGCAGCGAGCCGCCGCAAACAACCTCAAAGGCGGGATTGCATCCGAAGAAAATAATGATCTCCGTATGGTGGGATTTCAAGGGTGTCATCTATTACGAACTGTTACCGCCAGGCAAAACGATTGATTCAACTGTATACTGTTGAACCAAGCAATCCGCACAAAACATATAGAATTGGCAAATCGCAAGGGTGTCGTCTTCCACCACGACAACGCCAGACCTCATATGTCATTGACCACTTGGAACAAATTGCTTTAGCTTGGCTGGGATGTTTTGCCTCATTCTCCGTATTCGCCGGATCTTGCCCCTTCCGATTATCATTTATTTCGGTCGCTGCAGAACTTTATGAACGGGAAAACCTTCAAGAATAAAGAGGCCATTAAAAACCACCTGGATTGGTTTTTTGCCGATAAGCCCCAGATGTTTTACGAACACGGCATAATGAAGTTGGTGGAAAGATGGCTAGAGGTCATCGATAAAGGTGGCCAATATATAATTGATTAAAATTTATCTTGTGTATCAAAAAATTGTGTTTTATTCTATTCTAAAAAACTGGACGAACTTATTTGCCAACCCAATAGATAAAATTAAGATATTAAGTTTTTATTAAAAAAATAATAAAAATCAACAAAGATATATACAACAGAGTGGCGGTCCGTAAAAAATTCTTCCAACGGTGGGATCAATATCTCTGGCATAGTTCATCTGAAAAAAATTCAAATATTTTCTTAATTTGCATAAATGTAATTTTCGTTAAGCGTAACCATTTTTATTTGGAAAATTACTATTTTTAACGCTCCTTGAATGAAGAAAAAAAGGTTGGAAAAATCGAGGTTTTCTTTAACATACCGCTATTTTAAGAAAAATTAATTAAAGAAATTAATTAAAGAAATGACTACGCTTAACGAAAACTATATTTATACAGATTAAGAAAATCTTTGAGTTTTTTTCAGATGAACTATGTCAGAGATATCGATCCCACCGTTGGAAGAAATTTTTACGGACCGCCACTCTGTTGTATATTCTCAAATACATAACTACATGGATTACCCATGTTATTAGAAAAAATACTGTCGAAACCGTTTTGCTTTCCAGTGAACAATAAAATATTAATCGTGCGTAATTATTCACTGGAGTTTATGACGAAAATTATTTGCTACTTTTACCAAGAACATGTTAACTTAAGTTTACCAAGAACTTGTTAACTTAAATACTTCGAAGTATGTAGATACAAAATATATAAAACCAGTAGAATATGATCCTATCACATAGTATTACATATATTTTTCAGTCTGTAACTTGAAGACGCATTTTCAATGCGGTAATGAGACTTCCTGCCTTCCGTTGGAAAGGAGATGTGATGGAAAAATAGATTGCTGGGATGCAACAGACGAAATTAATTGCACATTAGGTAAGCATTCTTCCCAACATCCTATAATAACGATAGAACAACACCCGTATTATTTGATGTGTTTAATTAACAAATGTTATGTTATATTGGTAATATGGCCCAGGAGTATATATACAGTGCCTACTAAAAGTTCCGGGCCACATAAATAATTTTTGAATGATTTGAAATGTAGGATTGAAATTTATAGGGATACAATGGGATCGCAAAGTCTATTATTTACCCATAAAAACACTCACCTACACACCCCCGATGGACAAGGGGAGGAGGGAGCTAAAAAATCTTAAATGGCATGTGGGGTTAAGTGAGGGCTCGTTCGAAAGGGTTTTCCGAGACGAAAACAACGCGAGGTTGCCGAGGTCTCTACGATTTTTTTTCGCAGTTATAATCATTTGAACATTTCTATTGAGATTTTGCGATAGCGAGAGCCCACGGCGACAACAGAAGAAAGATAAGGCTTCACGCGAGCACGCGCGTTCCCCACATGCCATTTAAGATTTGTTGGCTCTCCCCTCCTCTCGTCCACTGGGGGTGTGAAAGTGGGTGTTTTTGTGGTTAAATAATAGACTTTGTGATCCTATTGTATCCCTATAAATTTCAATCCTACATTTTAAACCATCCAAAAATTATTTAGCTGGCCCGGAACTTTTGGTAGGAACTGTAAATGGGTTGTTCAAAAAGTCATTGCGTTTATTTCCGATAGATGGCTTTAGTTGTATGTTTAATATATTGAACACATATATAGTGCTGGCAAAATATTCTGCAACGGTTGAAAATCTTGGAAAATATTGATTCCTTGGAAAAATGTTTTAAACAAAAGGAATAGGGCTTAAAAAATCTATTAGATAATATCTATCTGACCTTGGTATGATCTTGAAATGCTCGGTCATGATCAACATAAAAATCTTAAACGGAAATCCCTATTTTTTTTTACACCTTCTTTCTCTACCAATTAATTTGAACAACTTTTGTCTAAAACATTTCTTTATTTGCTTAGTAGTTTTTGAGATATTTAAGGAAAACTTGACTAACGAGAATAACTTTTTCAATATTTAACTTATGATATCTCGCTATTTGTCAGAAGAAAAAGTGGTACTAGATTTTTTTGCTTTATTTAGTCTCAAGAATATACTGTTACAATAGCACTCTGACTTTTGTTCTTGTGAACTTACTGACTTTTGAAAATTTCAAAATCATCAAATTAATAAAAATCAGGGCGCTATTGTAACAATATATTCTTGAGACTAAATAGAGCAAAAAAGTCTAGTATCACTTTTTTTCCGACAAATAGTTAGTGAGATCGTAAGTTAAATATTGAAAAGTTATCAAGTTTTTCTCAAATATCTCAAAAAATACTAGGCAAATAAAAAAATGTTTTAAATAAAAGAAAAAGTTGTTCAAATTAATTGGTAGAAAAAAAGTGTAATAAAAAATAAACGGGTTTCCGTTTAAGATTTTTATGACCATAACCAAGCTTTTCAAGGTCATACCAAGGTCAGATAGATATCATCATGTAATAGATTTTTGAAGCCCTATTCCTTTTGTTTGAAACATTTTTCCAAGAAATCAATATTTTCCAAGATTTCAACCGTTGCGAAACTTTTTGCCAGCACTATATAAGAAATTTATAATAGCTTCTGAAGGACAATACTTTGAATAAAATATAATGTAGTTTTTTTAAATAAACATGAGTTTTTGTTACAAAAAACTGCGATAATTAATTCAAGTACCTAATATAAAAAATGTTACTTTGCATGGAAAAGAATGTTTAATGAAAATTATTACTTTATATTGTACAAAAAATGTTACTTTTTAATATCATCTATAAAAATAAAGTTTTTCTCAAAAATTTAAACAAGATAATGAATGAATAGTTTATATTAATATCAAAATATTTTTTTCGTTTCTTATAACTTTTTCCCATCTTTCTAGCAAGAGATGAATTTCGCAACAATAAAAATATTCTTCTTTGGAGTTGATTCAATTTTCAATAAATTTTTGCACTTGTTCAATGTTATGAAAATGTGTATCCTCCAGAGCAGTGTTTCTTAACCTCTTTTATCTCACGGCATACTTGAACCTATAGTTAAACTTCTGCGGCACACTTAAATTATGATGATCAAAAAAAGAATATAAAAAAAATGTAATTTTTTAAATTTATTTATTAACATAAACAAAATGCACCATCACGGCCAAAAAATAAAACAAAACAATTTATTATAATTTGTAATAAAAAGATAACAATTAAAATTCTTAAAAATTTTCGCGGCACACCTTAAATTCTCTCACAGCACACCAGTGTGCCGCGGCGCACCGGTTGAAAATCACTGCTCTAAAGCATGTTGCATGAACCGGAACAAGTGATAATCGGATGGAGCAATGTCTGGAGAATACATGGTGTGCGATAAGACTTCCCATTCCAGCTCTAATAGCGTTTTCTCCTGATAATGCAATATGAGGTCGAGCATCGTCGTGAAGGATTATATTGTGTCATTTATTCACAATTGGTGATCGTTTTTGGTCCAATACTCGCTTCCATTTGTATAATTGTTGTCGATAACTATCAGCGATGACAGTTTCATTCGGATTTCGGATTTAAATTCATATTATACAATACCTCCTTGATTCCATCAAATACACAGCAAAAACCGTGATTATCGCGTCTCGAAATGGATATTACTGGTGGGCCGGAATCAACCCATGACTTTTTTGTTTAGGATTATCGAAATAGATTTATTTTTCATCTCCAGTAATAATTCGATACAAAAAACTTTTCATTTTTTTTCTGGTGATCAACGAAATGTAAATGTTTAACCTGTTCGCAATGACATTTCCCGATAATTGATGTGGAAAAACCCATTTTCCACCCTTTGTGAATCTTTCCCGTATCATGTAAACGTTTAGTAACTGTTGTGCGATTAACATTAACATTAATGTTTTGGCAAATTCTGAAGTAGATCATGTTAGATTTTCGTCCAATAATGCTTGTAAATCTGCACTTTTAAACTTTTTCGTCCCGAATGATGTTTGTCGTTAACATTGAAATCATCACTTTTGAAACCAATATTCACATGTCTTAATTGATAGAGCAACAGCATCATAAGTTTCTATCAGAATTCTATGACCTTCAGCCGTTGTTTTCTTCTGATTAAAGAACAAAAGCAATCCATGTTGAAAATGCATTTTAGGAAGCTCCATTTTTTAACTGATAACATGATTTTTACTGCTTCTATTATTAGTAAATGACTAAATATCATGGAGTAATATTAAAGAATTAAGAAACAATAGCTGTGATTGAAATGTTTTCAATAAAACTGACACTAGTGTCATTTCTTCTAAATCCTTAAAACTAAATCACATTCTTAATAGAAACACTCAATAATAGCTCAAAGAAAACGCTAAATGATTTTGTTGCACGACAACATTGTTTGACCACATTGTAAAAGTAGTTAAAGATGCATTATTAGTACTTGGACATTTTACCACACACCGCGTATTTATTAGATCAAAGTTCGCCCGATTTTCAGCTGTCCTGCCTGTCCCGCTATTCCTCTTCCCCCGCGCGCGGTCCACGAATTGCGTGAGGCTTAATAAATATGATGCGTAAAAAGACGCATTAAGAATGAAATCTCATATGTGACGTGGAAAGCTATTAGAAACAAGTTCATGTGTGCGGGAAAAAATATAAGAAGAATAGCGGTGGGCGGAGCGACTTGCAAATTGGGCGAAGTGTACATATTTTATTGAGCTCTGCAATAGACAGTACTTCTTCAGATTATAATTTATTTTGATCGATGACATGAAAAAATAAAAAAAATGGTTCGATAAATAGATTACTTTAAAAGGTGAACTTCTTTGTCGTAGAATTCGCTTATTGTTAGAAAAGTGGGAAAACGTTATAGCTAGCAATGGAAAATATTTTAAATAAAATATAATTTAACGTCTGTTTAAAATAAATATATTTTTTGGTAAAAAATCCCTCAAAACTAAGCGGAACAGCTAATATTATGAAAATCGTAGGAATTTCAATGTAAAGGAATTAAAAAATTCCCAAACAACCAATTTTTTTTCGTTAACAGTAGGGAAATCCATCATGGATACCTCCCGCCCCTTGGAAGGGCAGGGGATTATGTCAGATTCCTGCTGACTAAAACCCCATCGGGGTGTTTATCAGTTGGGCCGGAGTGGGGGAGTAGGGGGAACTACGTCGACATTCCCTCCCTGACACACCGGCCCTGGAGTTCTCCGGAAGTCCCTTGCCCCTCCTTTAGAGATGGGCGCGACGCCCCGACCTATTTCTCGGTCGGGTTGGCCTCCTGGTCTCAATCATGGAGAGATGACACACTCACTCTCTCTCCTACCCCATTTTAGGAGGGGGGCGGGGAGTGGGAGTCTGCCCAACCGGGATACTCACTCCCCTTATCGAGCCCTTACTGATGCTCCGGGAGGACAACCCCGTCGGGGACAAGAGAGGAGCTCTCCTCCTCCTCAGTGGCTTTGCGTCCTCTCGATTGCGTACGGAAGCGAGCTCTGGAGGGGGCAGCCTCCTCTTCTTCGGAGGAGGAGGCTGATCCTCGCCCGACGTTGCAGGGATGACGTTGCAGCTCAGCGATCTTCTTCCGGGACATTACGTACTCGGCAAAGGAGACCGCCGCCTCCCAAATCTGCTCCCTCCCAATCATGGCCCCTACAAGAGCCGGGAGGGAAAGGTCCGGGTTCTGTCGACCGATTGCCCGGCAGAGGTCATGGCGCTGCAGGTTCCACGCTGGACATGACTCCAGCGTGTGCTGCGCCGTATCCTGCATTGCAATGCCGGGCAATGTCCCAAAAAATTTTTTTATTAACGGGGGGAAATCCTCATGGACACCCCACCCCCCTTGGGAGAGGGTGGGGTTATGCCGGACTTTTACCGACTAAAAACCCCTCGGGGTGCCTACCAATCGGGCCGGAGTGAGGGGAATCTGGGGAACTACGTCAGTATTTCCTTCTCGACACTCCGGCCC